TTATGAGCCTAGACAATATTAGAATATAATATATTCATTATTACGAATAACCAGAATAATGTCTACATTATTATTGCCAAAAAGCAGCTGAGATGTGCCAGAAATTAAAATAATATAAGATACTGTATATGTATGGCAGATGAACAGTCTGCGCATGCGTCTAACGGTGATTGCACATCAAACTTAGCTTATAATTCACTTTGACAGATTATTACTTTTTAACTAATGCAGTCGTGTTTTGCCTCACTTTACTAAATCATAATACAAAAAAAGAATTTACTAATTCAAAAAATTATTTAGAAGTTTCATTGTGCCAAAAATTGATATGTTTAGCATTGGATACGGAATATTTACTCAAGTAAATGGAGAGCGTTTTGGATCTGAATTTTTGTACTGTGCTCCAATTTGCATGAAATTTTTGAATTAGGTTCATCTTACTCTCAAGGGGGCGTTGACAAAAAATCACGAAATATTACGTGGGGAGGAAGAGGTATAGTAAGATATCACGTGTATTTATTTTTTATTTGAATTTTTTTTTAAATCCAAACACTTACAAAAAAAAGGCAAAACTTTTACAATTTTTTCTCGTAACTAAAAATTCACGTGATATTTGGTGGGGGAGGGAGGGGTTAATTTTGATTATAACCAAGGGAAAGAGGAGGGTCAAAAAATCCTTAAAAAGTTGATCACGTGATTAATGGACGCCCCCTAAAGTAAGGAAAAATACAAAATGCATAAGTTTAAAAAATTAATATGTCAAACTGAATTATATAATTTCATCTGCCAAACACATTTACTGTCTTGCATTATTTTAATTTCTGGCATATTTCAGCTGCTTTTTGGCAATAATAATGTAGACATTTCATTTTTCTTATTCATAATCATGAATTTATTATACGTATTCTAATATTGTCTAGGCTCATAAGTAAATTGGAATTTTTGGCAGATGACAGTTTTCATTTGTTTTCAATGCTAAACAATGCCTCAAATATTTTCAATGCCAAACAATGATAAGCGTTTTTTCATTTATTTCTACAATCTAACTTTATTTCTATAAATCAAAAAATCCTATAAAATTCCTTTATCAAACTTCAGAAAGATTTATCAAAATCTGAATAATCGTTTAGGAGAGGTATCGTTACATACATCGTTGCAGAAGAATTTTATATATAAGATATATATTCAGTAATTTGCCAAAATATTTTCATTTATATCTCCAATTACTGCTTGATATCAGATTATCCGAGAACTGAATTTTTTTCTTTACTATATTTTTATAATCACATACATCTTAAAAAATTTCCTTAACAAGCTTCAGAAAGATTTACCAAAATCCGTATAATCGTTTAGGAGATGTATCGTTACATACATCAATACAGAATAATTTTATATATAAGATATAAATTCAGTAATTTCCCAAAATATTTTCATTTAAATCTTCAATTACGACTTGACATCAGGTTGTCCCAAAAGTAAATTTTCTGCTCCACTATTTAAGGGGTGTAACTAGTGTAACCGCCTAAAAAAAGGTGATATTTGGGAATTTATATTAAAAAAAACTACTTTATCAATCATTTCAAAATTTTAGGAATATATTTATACATGTTTTAGGAATAGATAGTAAAATTTTTGAAAAAAAAATTAAATATTTTTTAAGTTATCGTCGATCTCCAAAGGCGCGACAAAAAAAGGCATTTTACTGCTGCAGTGATTCCGGCCTTCTACGTGGATGAAATTAAAAAAAAAAATTGTTAAACTAGATAATATTGTCTGTAAAATGAACTACGAAAAAAAAACTGAAAAAGTAACGGCGTTTTTAAAAAAAAGTCGAATTTTACCCAAAATTTTGGTCGTTTTTGGACTGCCAAAATTCGATTTTTGATCTGATCAAGAAATCGATAGTTCATTTTACGGAGAACTATATATAGAATATATAAAAAAAATTTGATAGTGATCGGATTATTTGTTTTTGAGTAATCGCTGCAGCAAATTCGGAAAATGCTGTTTCGAGAAAAACGCGTTTAAAGATTAAATGATCGTTATACTATATACTATATATATATATATATATATATATATATATATATATATATATATATACTCTTTAAATGACTGTGACTCAAAAACTATTTAAGATATCGATTTAAAATTTTGGTATGTTATTTTTAAAGGTATAACCTATCGAAATATGGACAAATCGAAAATTCGATTTTTTGAAAATTTCACACTAGATGTACCCCTTAATACGGTTTTTCGCTCCAAGTATATTATCTTCCATCAAATTGAATCACCCATGATTCAATTACCTTAGGGAATGTCTTACAAATGTTCTTGGAAATAAAGATGTTACCTTTAATGGAATTTCTACTAACTCGGCATTGTTTGTACTGATTGCGAGTTGTGAATTAAATATTAAAATAAATAGAATAGAATAGAATTATTGTACAATGGAATGAACGACGTTCCAGGTATTTTCAAGGTGACGACTTGTGCTCAACAAAACGCGTCATATACAATATACATACAACTATGTTATGTACTAAATGTGGAAACATGAGATCAGAATGCGTTTCGCTTTTGATCAGGGACGAAATCGGACGATTTAATAATCGGTGGCAATAAAAAAGGGCCGTGAGATCAATGACACGGCCATTGAATAATATAGATAGCTATGAATAATATAGACAGCAACATTTTTTGACAGTATTTAGTACCATTTTGTATGAGAAGTGCTACGTAACATAGCATTTGCGTAACATTGGCTATTCTACTGCAAAATCGTCTTCCTTATATAGAGTTAAACCTAGGGGTAGATTTATAAGATACGTTCAGTGGCGCCTCTATGAAGTGCGGAAACAATTACAATTGAAGTAACGGCAAAGCAGCCGTGTTTCCGATCTGTTTTATACTTTTCTATCTATGTTGGGAGTTTTCTATCTATGCAAAGTTGAAATTATTTGTTTAAAGTGATTAGAACTTTAGTCAGAATTAAAAATAAAATCTGAATTATTTTCGATAGACAAAAAAAATTTGTTCTTTAAAAAAAAATTAAAAAAAAACTGAAACAAAGAATTTTTTTTCCAAAAGCAATTATTTTGTTGAAGCAAGCAGAAAGTTCTTTGAATAATTCAAATCGGACGCTTAGTTCTTTCAAAAACTATAATTTTTTGCACATTCTGCTCGATATCTCCAAAACGACTGAGCCTGCCTTTGCCAAAAACTAATCACCTCTTCTTCTAATCATTACAAACTGAATGTTCTTTAGATAATTCAAATCCAATACTCCGTTCTCTCAAAAACTTGATTTCTATTTTCTGCACTCTTTACTCCGTATCTCCGGCGGGACCTGCCTTTGCCAAAATCTAATCAGCACATCTCCCTATCAATAGGAATCGAATGTCTTTTGAACCATTGAAATCGGTTGATCCGTGCGCCGGAAAAAATGAGGACACACACACATCCATTTAGTTTCTGAGGTATGCCAGTAAAATGTTTACAAACCTTCAAATCGTCGAGAAATGCAAAAAATTTTATTTTCGATTTTTGGCCCATTACTATAACTACCCGTTATGGGACGTTAATAATCGAGAATACATTTTTTATATAAAATTCTTCTGTACGAGTGTATGATTTGATACTTCTCTAAACGGTTTTTTGGATTTTGATAATTCTTTTTACACTTTGTCAAAGGAATAAAAAATTTGGAAATTTTGATGTCAGTCGGTTCATCTAGTATATTTATATATTTACTTCCTATTCTGAACATTTTACTCGCAAAGCTTAGAAAATATTGATGAATGTATGCATGTATGTGTGTTTGGATACAATTTTTCATCCACGATTTGAATGATTTAATAAACAATCGATTCCTATTGATGCGGGACAAAATGTGCAAAAAATGGCAATTCAGTTTTTAAGTGAACGGAGCGTCCGATTTGAATGATTCAAAAAATATTTCGCATGTATTGAATTAAATGAAAAATTGGTGAATTTATTGGGAAGGTAGGTCCAGTGGTTTCGGATAAAGAGTGTTATAAAAAATTGCACAAAAAGCTTGCACCACTAGTAATATATACAATTTATAATAGTAAATTATATTTTCTAACATGATTCATATTTCGGTTTAATTTTTGCAATAAAGATTCTCCATTTTGTTTAAAACATGGAAATATCAATTATCGCCTAATTAGCGAACAGACGATAATATATAGAACACAATGGTGAAACGTATTTTGCATAGCATTCTAGTGAATTAGACACACACACATACACACACACACATATATATATATGAATATATATATATATATATATATATATATATATATATATATATATGTAAAACATATGTATGTGTATATTGTTTGTTCGAATGAACTCGCATACTACTGAACCGATTTTAAAGTTGATTTGCTCGCCATGTGCATTTGTATATAATTATTCAGAAGCAATTTCATTTTATTGCAAATTTTGTCTATTAATTATAATAAATAAAGGGCAATGAAATATGTCAATGTCAAAAATTTGATATTTATGATAAATTCAATAAACTTTCGATATATTCTGATAGTTGTACATTACTTCACTTTTTGAAACTGACTTTTTCAGTCATAAAAATATATTAAACGAAATACCGTAAAAATATATCGTTATTGGATTTCTGAAGTATATATTAAATTCAATAAAATAATGTTGATGTATTTATAGATGAGGCTGATAAATCAATAAATATTTAACAATAAAGCCAAAAATAAGATAATTATTTTACAATTAATTATATAATTGCATATAATATTGTTCATATTATTTATAAAACTTAATATGTCCCTAAATAGAGAGTAAAGTTCTATTTACTATTAAAATTACTAATTTTGAGTAAGTTTTACACCAAGGCTCCCACTATCGGCGCTCCAAGCGCCATAGACGTTCATCTCTCGAACTACTTTTGACATTTCTGTCGGCGCTGTCAAATTAATGTTATTAATTGATTTGACATTGAACCTCCCGTTAAAAGTTTATCGAACGTAAAATCAGCTTAAAACACTTTATCTTTACTATTTTCACATGAAATAATCTCACATCATGCTGTCATCAGTCAAACTGATTGTACGAAACCGTCAATTGTGCAATAATTTGAGGTTACAAACGCTAGCAAGGAACATGAGTCTTTTAAAACATAAAGCCTTCGTCAACAATGACTGGGTGCAAGGTGTGAGTGGTAATACATTTGATGTTATAAATCCTGCTAACAGTCAAGTCGTAGGTTCTGTTCCTAATATGAATACTGAGGATACACAACAGGCCATCGAGGCTGCTTCGTTGGCTTTCCAGACTTGGCAGGACACAACAGCTAAAGAAAGATCTCAGTTGTTGAGGCGCTGGTTTGATCTTATGGTTGAAAATAAACAGCAGTTGGCAGAGATTATGACGGCTGAGAGTGGGAAACCGATAAATGAGGCTTTGGGTGAGGTTGTGTACGGTAACTCGTTTGTAGAATGGTTTTCTGAACAAGCTAGACGTATTGATGGTGAAATCATACAAAGTCCTACGCCATCAAAACAGATTCTATTAACCAAACAGCCTATTGGTGTTGTTGCTTTGATTACACCATGGAATTTTCCACATGCTATGATCACAAGAAAAGCTGCGGCTGCTTTAGCAGCTGGTTGTACGTGTGTTATTAAACCGGCTGAAGACACACCGTTGACAGCACTTGCGTTAGCACAACTGGCACAAGACGCAGGTATACCTAAAGGTGTTATTAATATTGTCACGTGTGACCGGTCTCTGGCTCCTGAAGTCGGTAAGGTTTTATGTGAGCATCCAAAAGTTGCCGGTTTGTCTTTCACCGGTTCCACAGAAGTCGGTAAGATTTTGTACCAGCAATGTGCTAAGCATGTTAAAAGAGTCGGTTTGGAATTAGGAGGCAACGCACCGTTTATAGTATTCTCAAAGTCTGATTTAGACAAGGCTGTTCAAGGGGCTATGGCTTCAAAATTCAGGAACTGTGGACAAACCTGTGTATCCGCTAACAGATTCATTGTTCAAAAAGACATCTTTGATCAGTTTGTAAGCAAATTAAAGTTCGCAATGCACAATCAACTTGTAATAGGCGACGGTAAGGACACAAAAACCACAATAGGACCTTTAATCAACAAAGCACAAGCCACCAAAGTCCACGATCTGGTCCAAGATGCTTTATCCAAAGGCGCTGAGGCTGTAGTCGGTGGCAAACCTGCAACCCATGGAGCCCTATTCTATGAACCCACGCTACTCACAAACATCAACAAAGACATGCGAGTATATAGTGAAGAAATATTTGGACCAGTTGCAGTATGCATATCCTTCGAAACTGAAGAGGAGGCTTTGAATATTGCAAATGATACTCGCAGAGGCTTAGCTGGATATTTTTATAGTTCGGATATTGCTCAAGCTTTTAGGGTTGCAAAGAAAATGGAAGTTGGTATGGTTGGTATAAACGAGGGCATGATTTCTGCAACTGAGGCTGCTTTTGGAGGGATAAAGGAGTCAGGGGTTGGTCGAGAAGGGTCTAAGCATGGGATTGAGGAATATGTTTATGTGAAGTATACTTGTTTCGGAGGTTTGAATTAAAAAATTGAAGAAAATGTTGTTTTTAAATGTATTTTGTTATTTATATTTTATATTTTATTATATTAAATTCACTATATGAGATTTTTAATTTTTTTAATATTTGTATTTGTAATTTAAAAAAAATGTTACGAATTTTCTTCATTATTTTCAAAAAGTAATATATTTTGAACACAGTTCTAATAGGATAATATATGGTAAAATCACATTAGTTAATAAATATATTTTTAAATATAGTTATAATTAAAATGATGTATTTTTAGATTAATATATGTATATCAAATGATACTCGATGTCTTCCAAGAGTCTTCCATTATGAATAAGTGTTAAATTAACAATTAGACAATAAATATATATTGTAACTTTAAAAAGTGCTTTATTTTTATTTTATCATAGTTTTAAAAATATAAATATGATATTATATTTAAAGTTATAAGGCTATAAGTTATAAGGATATTATAAATATATCCTAAATGTATTTCTGCAATTACTTTCGTTTTTTTTATTTTTTTAAATATAATAATTCATAATTATTTTAACAACATCCTATAATCTAAATAAAAAACATTATATGATTTATAATATTTCTAATTATTCAAAACTATTTTTTTCTGAAGAAGTTTTTGGATTCCCGACGTTTCAACTCATTCTCAATCATTTGATACCGAAATTATAAAAAGTATGTATGTGTGTATGTTAGATAAGCGAGACGATCATTCAAGCCATTTCATCATATAACTAGTGGTGTATGGCATCGTGCCTCAAGGCAAATTGCTGGAACTTCCCGTACCTAAAATTAATTTTTTTCAAAAAGATTTAAATTTAAATTTTAAAAACAATTAATTTTTTTTTGAAAAAAAATAGATTTTTGAGAAATTTTAAATTTTTGAAAAAAATATTTTGCTTTATTAATTTTCCGTAAGGCAAAAGTTGTAGTAATCGCAAAAAATCATAAAAAATTATATATCTTCACATTTCAAAGGTTTCTGAATATTTTGGCATACCTTAAAAAAATGGATGTATGTATGTGTGTGTGCGTGTGTGTGTGCGGATACAAATTTTCGTCGACGATTCCGGGAACACTGATCAACCGATTTGAATAATTCTAAGTATTGATAATGAGACGTGCTGATTAGTTTTTGGCGAAGGCAGGTCTAGCCGTTCCGAAGATACGGGGCAAAAAGTGCCAAAAACGGTAACTCTGTTTTTAAGGGAACGGAGCGTCCGATTTGAATAAATCAAAAAACCATTTTACTTGTATTAACAAGATGAAGAACTGATTAAATTTTTGGGAAGGCAAGTCCATCAGCGGTTATGGACTCCCAATAAAAATAAGTTAAAAAAATGTCATTTGGCGGTCAAAAATGTTTATTGGACATATGTGCATCAAATTACCAGATATTTTATAGAGATTTCAATGATGTGTACACATTTTGTGTAATTTTTTTGGGTTTCGTACCAAGATTTTTAATTAAGGTACGGAAAGTTCCAGCAATTTGCCTCAAGGCACGATGCCATACACCACTAAAATTAATACAATTACAAATATTATTATTAATTACATTTTACTACTTAATTAATTCAATATTGCACAACTGCATAATATGTTTACAACATTCAGGTGTGCGAGCATTTAATTTAATATAATGACTTTGTTATATAAATAGACTAATTGTTGTTGTTATTTTTTATAGATTTATCAGTTCACCATGACACGACGACACAAATACCTGATATATAATTTCTAAATAAAATATGAATAATAAAAAAATATGAATGAGTCATTATAAAAAAAATATACTATAATTTGAAGATTATATTATAAATGTATCATGCAACGGTGCTATTGTAATTAATAATTTAAATTGAATATTTGAGTTAAATAAATTATTAGTTATTTAAAAAAAAAAAAAATTCTTCGCATGAACAAAATAATCAAATCTTAAATTAACTATGTAAATTAAATTAGTAGAGTTACTATGTAAATTTAATTAATAAAGAAATTTTTTTGTCTATCTTCATGTTTCAGAGGTTTCTGAACATTTTGGTTCTGAACAAGATAAAATGGAGGTATGTGTGTGTATGTATGAGCGGATACAATTTTTCGTAGACGATTTTGAGAACACGATTCAACCGATTTGAATGATTCAAAAAACGATTCTTATTGATGGCGAGACGTGCTGATTAGTTTTTGGCGATCGCAGGTCCAGCCGTTTCGAAAATACGGGGAAAAAATGTCAAAAATGTATTTCAGTTTTTGAGAGAACGGAGCATCCAATTTAAATGATTCAAAGGTTTTGGAGATACATTAAAAAAAAATTAAGAAAAATACCCTTTGGAAATAAAAAATGATCATTAGATATATGCACATCAAATTATCAGATATTTTATAAAGATTTTAATAATACGTTTATTAGTCAGACTGCGATGCAGCGCTTGCGCGCTTTGTTTTTCTATTCTACGCAGCTAATGCAATACGATTGCTTTGAAAAAAGTTCAAAGTTTCTAAAATATTTCAAAATATTCAAAAAAGTCAATTTTTGTCAAAAATTTCAGAATTCTCAAAAATCTAATTGTTTCAAAGTTCTGAAAATTTTGTAAAGTTTTTAAAAAAATATAGTTTTTGGTTTCCAGCAGTTTGCCTTAAGGCACGATGCCATTTACCACTAGTTTTTTTTAAAGTGTCTTTTTTACTGTTTTTTTGAGTTTCTCGAATTTTTTAAATATAGTAAAAATTGGAATTTGGGGATGATGCTAGTTCGGGCTACAGATAGGGTTATAAACAAGAGAACTCGAGAAATCGTGTCAACAGTACTGAAAAAGTCTGTTATGAGAAAAACGCATTTAAAGTTTTGCGTGAATTTTTTTGCTGTCAAAGTCATAAAATTATATGTTATACTTCTTTAATTTAATCTGCCATTCCTGCTTTATGCATCGGATCTTCTACTTCAAAAAAACTATTTTCTGCATTACTCTCTTCCAATCGAGCAGTTCTAGCCTTCTTTGAAGCGTTGGATGTACGTATTTCAGATCGTCTTATAGCAAATGAATCAGTTTCTGGCCCAATTTGTATTGCCATATGGGTCATCATATTTAAAATGGAAAAGAAACCTTCATTGAATATGCAAAAAGCAATAAATGTTGCTATTTCAATTACCCGAGATCGAGAATGAATATGCTTCGGCTCGAAAATCCAAATCAACTAGTTTAGAGATTCATTATTGTTCTGAGTTTCTGAACCTATACATCGAATTAATAATTTATTTGACGATAAACTGTCATAAATTGGCCTTTATCCGATTAGACCTCGCCAAACCAGTTTGGAGACCGAGTCAGTAAAATGCCTTTATCTTCGAAAATAATTCAAATTTTCAAAAACCTTCTCGTTCCCATATTCTTAGATAGTTAAACTTAGAAAATATGAATTAACTAGCTGTAAGTGGAATTCTGTCTTAAGGCAATTAAGGCATCGTGCCTTAAGGCAAATTGCTGGAACTTCCCGTACCAAAAATTATTATTTTTTTAAAAACGATTAACATTTTTGAAAAAAAAATTACTTTGAAAAAATAAGATTTTTGAGAAACTATAAATTGGACAAAAAATTACTCTTTTTTGAAAAAAATTTAAAAAAAAAAAATTTTTTTTTTTTAATTTTTTTTTTTTTGAAAACAATTTTTTTTTTATTTTGACATATTGTGGAAGATCTGAACTTTCTTTTCAAAGCAATCAATCGTACTGCTTTAACTGCATAGGGACAAAATATAAAGCGCGTAAGCGCCGCGTCGCTGTCTAAAGCATAAGCATTGGTACGGAACCCATAGGAATGTTAACAAATTGTATACTTATTGTTAAAATCTCTATAAAATATCTGATAATTTTATGAGCATATGTCTAATGATCATTTTTGACCGCCAAATGGCTCATTTTTTTTACTTTTTCCTCCATATCTCCGAATCCGCTAGACCTACCTTCATGAAAATTTTATCGATTCTTCATCTTGTCAATACAAGTGAAATGTTTTTTGAATTATTCAAATCGGACGCTCCGTGCTCTCAAAAACTGAACTACCGTTTTCGGCACTTTTTGCCCCGTATCTTTGGAACGGCTAGACCTGCCTTTGCCAAAAACTAATCAGCACGTCTCCTTATCAATACGAATCGAATGTTTTTTGAATTATTCAAATCGGTTGACCCGTGTTCCCGAAATCGTCGACGAAAATTTGTATCCGCACATACATACACACACACACATACACACACACACACACACACACACACACATACATCCATTTTTTCTAAGGTATGCCAAAATGTTCAGAAACCTCTGAAACGTAAAGATATATAAAAATTTTCATTTTCGATTTTTTTGCGATTACTATAACTTGCCCTACGGGAAGTTAAAAAAAAAATCGATTTTTTTGAATTTCTACACTAGAATTTCTACACCCGTTAAGTCATAACTATATTAGCGTATTAATCTTCGTTTTAAGAAATAGCACATATACACACACAAACAGTTTTTAATATCTCTAATTCATCTCTATATAGTTTAATAATTACCTCATCTATCTTTTACTCAATCATTAAATCTTACCCATCATATTACGGATATTATTTTCATGTAAATTTTATCCTTTGCTCTTTTATTTATTTAAATTTATATTATTATTTATCAATATTACTTGATGTTAATAAATTAGCAGTTGTAATAATTATTGAAATTAAAAAAAAAAAAAAAAAAAAAAAACTAAATCTTACCCCATCATCCTTTCCAGTGTTCAAGAAATCGACGGAGGCTTCTTCGAAAAGTTCGGCTCCCTCCTGCGCCAGCACACGGTCCGCGCGGCCCTAGAGGAGTCGACTCCTCTGGCTCCTCTTCCCGAAGAAGAGGGCGTCTCGAACGCTGAGCAGCAGCCGGAGGAGCAGGAGGGACATGAGAGGAGTCTCGAGGTCGACGACAAGGAGGAGGACAGCGGCAATGAGACGCAGCAGGACACCGACAGT